AACTGATAATAAACTGATGTTCATATAAAGTAAAAAGATAAATTTAACACCGTAAAAAAGTAGGTGAAATAACTTACTGACGTTTCGAACGTTAATCCTTCGACGGAGTAAAAAAGGAGAAGGATTAGCATCAGTAAATTATTTCACCTTTTTTTCACGGTCTTAAATTTATCTTTTTACACTACCGTTTCTTTAAAAACACCGACGCAGCTCACACTAGTTTACCGCTAGTTCCCACATTGATGTTCACACTGACACTTGTTCAAACTAAGACTGAAAAGTGAACAACTAGTGTAATCATGTAATGCTGTTTACTKTTGTCACCATGGTGATGTACTCTATCTGGAAATCTTGATAATGGATTGATGGCTAATTCATTGATACCTTTTTAAAGCTACATTGCTGATTTGCAATGTCTACGTTCATATAATTTCTAATCAACCACTCTAACAAGTGGAGGAATGACAATATGAATAAATTCATTTAATATTCCTTGTATCCTCTCATCCAAGCATGCAAACTTGTTTTGACTTTAACATACATTTGCTTGTTATTCATCGTACGTTTTGATTGATACATTATCTTTTATCTCGGATAGTCCTTCCTCCTAATAATTTGATTAATCCACCAGAAATCTACCTCACAATACGGGCCAATATTGGGATCCATTGTTGGTGTGTTTGCATTTGTTGTGCTCGCTCTCATAGTGGTATACAAGAARCAGATACAGAAATCTCGGTAAGTAGACTGCTATCAACAATTTCGCCGAYGCTTTTGCTGGACGCAACGACAACCGAAAGAAGAATTTTGGACTCTTCACTGTTKMAGATCTYTGAAGATAAAAAAGTCACAATATTCAAAAACATTAGATTATATCAGTCTATCAAATATATTTATTATTGACTGTGGATTGTCACGATCAAAAATGCCTTTTTTCATTGTTAAGTTACTCAAAATTTCCATAAAATGAATGTAAGATAAATCTTTTCGATGTTCTCAAAATGCTGGAAATCGCATTTCCGAGAATCACAATTCCAAAATTTTCCGTGGCGGCATGCTTCAGTACYCTACAAAATTCGCGCCTTCGGCACTCGTCAGCCCCCTCCACCAGTTATTTCATTTCCTCAAGGGAACGGAGCATTTGAGCATTTTTTTTTCCTCGACAGGCAAAAAGGCACTGCAACTCACAATTCCAGTAAGTAGCATTTTTGCTTCTCCTAATTTGATTCAATAAAACCTATTAAGAAGAGGGTTCAGAAGGTTCTCTAGTTTCGCACCACATCAAACTTTGTAAAAAGGGAGACATGCATACCGAAAAGGCAAATCATAGTAGTCCAGTAGATATATATATATATGTGTCTGTTTGATAATAATGATATGATTGTTACGGTAAGATTTTTGGTCGGTTCGATCGTGTTCACCGAATGTCGGGGTTGACTAGCTTCGGCAGTAGCGACTCGAATTGCAGGGCCCGTAATCTGAACTTTACCCTACGAGACGGCACGAGACTTGGACACAGAGCACGGACTAAATTCTGCTTTAATCTTCATGTATTGTGGCTCTATTTATATGATTACAAACTCCTTTGTTTATAGGTAATATTTACATACTTGATTGCCAGAACTATAACGCGTAAAACTCGAAAACCAATCACTTAATTTGATGACAGCAAAAATGTCATAAGATGAGGTAACATACGCAGGAGATTATTGGCTGTAACTAGAAAGTTAAGTAAAGCGTACAACTGGTACAAGTAACTTTTCATCACTTTCGATTCCTGGTCTTAACGCTTGTTTCCAGGTAGTTAACGCTGAGATCAGCGATCCYTACTATCGTGACTAAAATAGTGAATTATAGATTACTTGCAACACTAGATGTCTTTTAGAAAAACTTAACCTGCTAGGTAAATATCGTGACAAAATGTTTTGGCAATTTCCTAATATCGCCAATTTAAAAATAAATAACTGATTTGTTTTCCTAAACAATTTTGATGAATTTTCTCCCTTTACATGATTACGTAAAGTGACAATTTTCCAAATTTAGTGAAAACAAAATTGAATACTTGAGAAGTGGCACGGGTGGCATGGGTGGCCTAGTGGTTAAGCTGCTGGCCTCTCACCGCTGTGGTCCGGGTTCGATTCCYGGVCACGGACYATATGTGAGTTTGAGTTTGTTTGATGTGTTGTTCTCTCCCTTGCCACGAGGTTTTTTCTCCGGGTCCTCCGGTTTTCCTCTCCCAGTAAAAATTAACATGTGAGGAGTGTTGTGTGCTAAAATACTTAATGTAGAGGTAGTGAGTATGAGAGTACAGGGTCCGCAGTAATTGGCTCACGCTGTTGCGGTGTCCCTGCCCATACTAGGGGCAAAGCTAATAAATTAAATTAAGTCAAAATCTGTAACTATACAATCACAGTCGTGAGCTAACGGTCAAAGAAAACCATTATCGATTTCTTGAACATCATTTACCCTTAAATGTCATTTCTCTTAGGAGATGAACTCCTTGTGGATGATTTTGAGGTAGACGGCTATCTTCTTCCCAATGGCAGACCTAATCAGAACGGAGCAGAAGAAATGATCATGAATCCAATTCCAGACTTCCCACGTGAGCCAGGTTAAATACATAGTCTTCAGGCTTTCCCGTTTCCCATCCAATTTCGGTGGCTTTAAATAAATAGACTGTTACCATAGTTACCGTGAATAGTCGTGAATGATCAGGGTTTTTTCTTTCTTATTTTTCTGCACTGCAGCAACGATCTCAACAAATGTGCGTAGAAGGTCACAAAGAGTTGAGCTACAAGAACCCGCAGAATTATACGTCTCCATGAAAGGTGAATGTCTG